TTCCGGAAGGAAAGCTCGCGAACTGGCCAGACAGATGGTTACAGAGTGGTGGCATTCGAATCGCCCCAGACATTATGCAGACCTCGAACTCGAGATGCGACGCAAGAAACCGCCAGAACTAGCACTACCAAGGGCAGTCTACGCTCGCTTAATAGCCGCTCGAACCGGACATGGAGACTTCGCGGCTTATCATCGCCGCTTCAACCACACTGACGCTACACTTCACTGCGAGTGTGGGAGGGAAAAATCAATCGGTCACCTTGTTCAGTGTCGAAAAGCACTGGCAACATGGCGGCTGAAAAGCGGAAAGCGAAGGGCGCCAGCTATAGAAACAATGCTCGGATCAAGCGGGTGGCAACTGTTTAGGGACTACGTCCAGGAGAGCGGAATATACGCGGAGGCTAGTCGTGGGATGGCAGGGATACCTGTGACTCGGAGGTGATGAACGAAAGCCTAGGTGATCTGGCATGGAAGTAGGGATAGGAATCGAGGCTCGGGCGCGTGGTGGCCGAGGCGGAACGATGGAAGGGAGATTGTCAAAGTTTTTCTTTTGTAATGCAGGATTTTGCATGGAAGTTTTCTTTTGTTTTGTTTTCAACTCTGGGCTGCTGTACTCGTCATGCTTCAACACACAGATGCGTTTCGGCATGATTCCGGTCATTGAAGTGGGACGAGGCACTTGTACTTTACGGTAGTTAACCTGATCCGGCCCGACCCCACTCGTGCTCAAGCTCCAGTAGGAGTGAGACGGTAGTTACTTCACCTAGCACGTTAATGAACAAAAAACGCACAATTCGAGAAATTCAAAATTCGAAAATTCGAAAATTCCCTATATCCCTTTTCCCTTCTCATGATTATTCCTGTGCTTGAGTTCTTGAATTGATGACCATCGAGAGGCGTCCCAAAATGCCTCCGATGAAGAGCAAACGACCAAAGTCGACCATTTCTGTCGGCTTTGAACGGACACACATGTGTCCAAAACCTCTTGGCCTCGCGCAAAAATTATCAAGCTTGTTTGCGAGTGAGGCCTTTGTCCCAGAGAAGTCTTCCACCCTTCCCGACCAAGAGATGACTGATTCTGATCCAATCAGAATAGAAACGAACAGTCAGCAGACCGCGAAACCCACCGAGCTGGCCCTCGAGGCAAGTAGCTCCAGGAAAGCAAAGGAGATTGTCAGAGAAAGGACGATCGAACGTGCAGAATCGTCTGCCGGAAAAAATGCTGTGCCAGCCTCAAAAGGTGCAGCATCGACATCAGCTATGGAGTTCCTCCGGTGCTGCAAACCGTGATGGAGGCCGAAAAGCGACGTACGACGCAAATTACGGCCCGCCTCGCCATCTGCTCGACTGCGATAAACAGTGTTGAAGCAGCACTTTCGCCTCTTTCGATCGGCGAAAATAAAGAATTCGTAGACGGTATAAAAGTCTACCTACGAGCAGCTATTGGCCAGTTCGTTCAATCCAGTCCAGGAAGCACACCACCAGTCCTTCCTGCCCGCCCCGCCAACCCTCTCTCACCGAGGGCTCCAGAAATTAGGGCACCTAACTCTACGAAAACCCAGGCTCCGGCCCCAAAGACAACTTGGGCCACCGTAGCTCGGGCAGGCCTAGTTAGTAGCGCTGGGCCATCGACAAAAAAGGCAGCACCGCCCGCCCAGAAAGCAAAAAGTGCCAACTCGAGTGGAAAAGCCGATTCACGACTTTTTCTGCGCCTTGACTATTTCCATCCCCACCGTCTCCTTTCTCCAGCTGGAGTAAGGCTACTGGCGTCTCGGGCGCTGGGAACCGCTGCCAACAATATCACGTTGGTTCAGCGGGTAAAGACCGGCTTTGCAATAACCGCAAAGGATGAACTCGCTCGAACAGAGCTCCTAGATTCCTCCACATCACGGAGCGAATCTGGAATCAAAATGGAACCAGCATCAAATCTGGTTGCCATGCAAATTGCCACCATCCCGGAGACAATTCGAACTCTTGCTGGCCCAATTGCCGTGACGGCAAAGATGGTTGCCGACGAAGTCACGCGAGTGACCCAGTTGGTTCCCTTTCTGGTTCGTCCTCATGGGACTAGCAAACCAGGGGCGCCCTACTCAAATTGGCAAGCGCTATTTCCCCGAGAATCCGCTCCTCGACCTGGATTCCGCCTTTTCGACGACTCTGGAGCTGCAAAGCTCTTCCAACCTCGTCGCAAAATCGAACAATGCAAACGGTGTCTTGAATTTCACGCCACCCGTGTTTGTTCCCGCGCTCCAGCTTGCTGGAATTGCGGATCTAATATGCACTCAGAATCAGAGTGCAAGGCCCTCACCCGGTGTCGAAACTGTGGGGGACCTCACCGATCGGATTCCCGGGCCTGCTTAGCCAGACCCAGCAAGTCCGGACCGGTGACAAAAGAGCAGCTCGCGCGGATCCGCCAGATCCAGCAAGGGGAGTTCGCGAAAGTGGCTCGATTTAGGGCTGCAGCCAAAAGGGCCGAAGAGGAAACGATGGCCTCAACGAAGGATGTCTCGATAGCCGAGGGATCGGGTTTTGGTATCCTGGAATCCGAAGAAGAAGTTTGAGGGTACAGCAACCCTCGGTGAAGTCTACAAAAAGCTTCAATATATATAGCAGGATACCAGCTGAATTCAGGGTATCTGCGAACTAGTCTTTCGCTCTCAGCGGAGATAAGAAAAAGTCACCTGGAAGATGTGGCAGGAAAGGGAACGGGCGAGAAGCGCGGGATCCGGACCAAACAGTATTTCTTCCAAATTTGATTTCAGTTTTTGATTTATGTTTTTGATTTTAGTTTTGCTGTTAACTTCTACAATTTCAGTAGAAGTTCATGCGGTTGGAATGAGTTGGGCCTGTACGCAGTGATCCTTGCCTGCTCCACCGGTCCTTGACCCAATGTGGAAAAGATAGCGTTAGCTTAGGACCAAAAGTAAAAAATAAATAAATATATATATAAAAAATATAAGAAAAACAAGCCTATGAAACAAGGATGGGCCCTGTAGTCATACACAGCCCAGCCAGAACCCAGCCGGGCCTAGCCCGTAACAGGTATGGTCTGATACACGTGTAGGCTTTCATCCACCGACCCTGACCCCATATATATGATTCATTTTTCTTAATTTGGCGCCTTGAGGCCCATGTAGGTTTTATCGGAAGATGTTTGCTTTAAGTAGGATGACTCAATTTGACATTTTAGAACACTCACTCAGATTTCATTTGCAGATACCACTCGATGTTAACCCTTACGGCGTATAACCTCTTCCGTGCATACCCACCACAGGGAAAAGCGTGAAGACCCTGTGGCTATCTGAGTGTGCTTTCATCATTCCACAAGAACATTGTCACCGCGATAGAGGGAGTGGTATGTGGGTTTTGCTGGATTCGAACCAGTTTTCTCCTGTCTCGAATGGGGTAGGTGTTCAAGCTACCCAGTATCTACTTGGGAGAACGGCCCGGATGGTGTACCACTGCACCATCCAACCCTACCCTGATCCCAGGCTCATGTTGTATACTGTCGTGCGATTCATTATCATTGTTAGAGTATGGAACGAGTAATGGATGGTATCGAGACTGGATTTGGTCTATCAAGATTACATGTATATAAGCTGTTTAGGAATCACCAAGACGGACAGTCAAATCAATTCAATTTATTCAACCCATCTTTTATTTCTCCACAGTATATCACATATTTTCCCGATTCATATCATAATTATTCTATTCATAAAATCGCGCCCATATTCTTTGAGCCGCCTTACTCATCGAACCCATACCTATTTTCCAACAGAAGGTCGGCCAAGACGATGTACCACGGCACGTTCCATCATTGACTTGTGTTTAAAGTGTCAACTGCACTCTCGCAAGCGAAGTCTTGGCGCGTAAAAAGCCCAGTTCGTAAATTTCCTTGCCAAACTTCATAATATCACGCCCGTCGAAGTTTTATCCTTCCTCTAGATCATCTTGTGAACTTGTCTTGATCCCCCTCACGTATGTCCCAAAGAACTGTCTCCCAGATTTGTGCACCACGCTTTGCTTCCTCCGTCGGGTGTAAATATCGGCCTGGGCGTGTCTTTGGCGACCAACTGAGGTCAGAGAATGTCGATGAGAGGTGTGGTCATTGGAATAAGGATGAACTAGGTCGTACTTGTAGACTTGATGAGGCTTAGGTGAGAGTTAAACTCGTAGGGAGCGAAACAACGACGTGGTGGATTATTTTGAATTATTGCCTCGTGGGCCAACTTGTTTGGTATTGCGAAATTTGACTGAACTCGGCTCTGGGAGAATATTTGACTCCCATATTCGTAGAGGACACCGCGTACAGGTGTTCAGTCTTGCCCTCCGCGAACATACCTCATAGTGGTACTCGCAAATGAAGTCGGAGGCATAATTTCTCTCATAAACTGAGTCATCTTTTCTGTACTTTTTCTCCAATATTGTGTCATGGCTAGATTGCTGCATACACAATTAAAATCTGATGCAAAATTAAAAAAAATAGCACAATTATCGTGTGAGAATGAGAAAATATTGACCACGCACCATTAATGCCATCCCATTTAGCACAAAATAAATACAGACTCATCTTGCACTAATTCTGCGCCCGATTTCATACTACCCTCTACATGCAAATCCTTGAGAAAATCGCTCAACAGCGAAAAGAAAATAGATCTTAAGGTGGAAAAAAGTTGCTCGTAGTTGCTCATAGTTGCAAGAGGTGCTTATGGTCGTAAGTAATATGGCAAATTCCAACACAAAGATTAAACCGCGATTATGATTACGTACACACACCTGTTACAGGGCGAGTATCACAAGAGATTAAAAGTAATATTTATTTGTTTATTGAAACTTCTCATGCCGCGAATACCCACCTCGCCACCGAATGACTTTTCCGCTGTAATATTGACATTGCACCACATGGAATTTACAATGTAACTGAGTATGTTGCAGCAGAAGAAGGCTGTGTTACTGAGAGCAATCGTACGCCAGACTCCAGCCGTCTACCCCCCCTTTTTCTACAGACCCCTCATTAAATCTTCAATCGTTAATGTTTTTCGGACAGCATTTGAGAATCCTTCATGAAAGGTAACCCAGATCCGTTGATCTCTAATCTTATCATTATCTTCAGCTCTATCATATTCCTGTAACGAATTTGGGCCATTGATTAAGACACCAAAAAAGTTCTTCTTAGTATCCCGTTGTAATATAGGCGCTGAAGACTCCTGGATTAATGTCGATTTTTTGGAGGCACCAACAGAATTTAGGGCTTGGTAGCGAATTTGTCGAGTCATGCTTTCACGTTCGATTTTATTCTTTTCATAACCTTGGCCTAGGAGCTGACGGATGGCGTAGCAAAGTGGTGGTAAAAAGGCGCTTGTAGAATAAGAGCTGGCTGTTTCAAAGGTAGTCAACGTATCTAGAGGTCTTTTATATGTTAGTCCAGTTCACTAAATTACGTAAGGGTAGAGATAGAGACTAACGGTTCCATACGATAGACCCAATTTGGCCCAATACCACTAATATCATCTTCTGCCTTTTCGTGCTGAAAAGTGATTCCTAGATCTTCCATAATTCCAACTGATCGTTGAATCATAGCCTTTTCGGTCTCCTTTCTTACACTGGCAGTTGATTTCCGATCACCACTACCACCAATTATGACCGGCTTGACTCCAGGAATAAGTAGTTTTACAAGATAAGGTAGAATCTCTACTGCAATCTTCTCAGGGTTCTTAAAGTTTCGTACCTGTGCTGCTTGTAAACCAGTCTGCAGAGCTGAGATAATGGCACGATTTGACTTTTCGGCTTCGTGAGCATCAAAATCGGCGCGTGGGCCTGAGTAAGGTGTAGAATTCGCTAATTCCTCTTCTCGCCAATTTTTAGGATCAGTATTCCCGAGCCTATAGCGAACTGGCGACGCGAATAAGTGATGGCACGCAAGTATTGGTTGACAAAGGTAGGGTAAGAGCTCAAAGGCCTGGTCGGAGAAGACTCGGGAGGAGCATAAATCATGAAAATGAAGCCACTCATACGCGGCATTCGGTTTGGATAGCATAGAATCATCATTAAAAGGCTGATCGGGATATTGCGAAAATATATCGGTCATGATACGAGTTGTCTCTCCGTTCGCTTCCACTACTTCTCTCAGCCTTTCCATACCTGCTTTTTTCGTAAGTTCCGCAACACCAAGGTGACCTTTGGGCTGCTCTTCCGACATTTTTAAGGGGTTAACAAAGACAGGCTTTGAAAATCCAGCTCCCTCAGTAAATACCCGCGTTACAATATCCCTAGTCCCTCCTTGCCCATTTCCCCGAGCTCCATTGCCTTCGTGAGAGATATCATTTATTATGTTCTGCTCGACCCATTTTTTGGTAAGTTTGATGTTCTGACGTTCCATTGACGATGCCTTCAGCTTACTAGCTACCCATTCACCAACGACTAGAATGCTTCGGATATCACCATCACCTGTTCTGATACTTTTTCGTGTATCGCCAGTATTCATACCCCAAGTGGCTTCGCAAAGTCTACGCACAGCGTCTTCATCGCATGTGACCCCTTCTTTCCCAAAAATTGATTTCATACGAGTGACGATAGTCTCGAGAGGTGGTTTATGAACGCGAATGATCTCTACATAATTCGATTGGCGAAGCTGTCTGAGTGATGGGTGATAAACATCATTACAGATAAGGATTAGAGGTCTGCGAAATCTAAAATCGTCGTTCTTCTTTTTCCGGCGATGAGTATTACTTAAGTTGGTACCGTGAGCTACCATGTTCTTTCGATCAAGTAGTATGAGATCAATCAATGCTTTTATGAACCCTCCTTCTCCCGAGTCTCCCGAGCCACTTACGACTCCATCTACTTCGTCCACAATAATGCACAGTGGTTGTACAGTTCTTTGCACATGTCCAGTTTTCGATTGAACTCTTGAGCCAGTTTTCACACTCTCTGTGCCTATACTTGTTTTAATCCTTCCGTTCACTACATCACGGCTCCTATCATCACTAGCGTTGATTTCCATTACTTCGTACCCAGCTTGCACAGCACAAACGTGAGCTAAAGTAGTTTTACCAAGACCAGGCGGACCAGACAGCAACATAATCTTACGAGGTTCGTTTTCACTTTCAAGACCTGATTGTTTAGTTACTATTTGCTTAGCTCTTTTTGATTTGGGAAAGACGATGGGATCCCAGCTCTTAAGCCATCGCAAGACCTGCCGATGTGTACGATCATCACCAACTAGTTCCATAAAATTCCGTGCACGATACTTTTCAGTCCACATGAGAGATTTTTGTGCACCGAGATGGGTAGTAGTTTCTTCAATTGTTGGTATAACTTCCTCTGCCATATTTTTGTCACGTTGCTCCGTCATTAGCTCTGCCTGTTTTACTAGTTCATGAAGTTGTATCCCATAATAACTTCTTTTTGCTCGTCCTGCAGCGGTAGTGGACCTTGCAGCGACGGCCTGTTCAAACGAGATTGATACAGGCTCTTTCCGCAAATTTATAGGAACAAGCTTTCCAGAGCATGTGGTCGCTGTAATTATCTCCGGCGTTTGAATACTGGCTGGAGCAAATAGATTCGGGGTAAAACATTGTTGGTAGGAACGCGTTAGGTCAATATTTGTACTTTCTTCAACATCTAGTATTATTTTCTCTCTTTCAATTGAAATCTGATCCAATAGGTCAGTAGCGGGATTTGACTGCGAATATTTAGGTGGCCTATGTACGTCCAAATTATCTTCAGTATACGGCATTCGCCGTTTATGCGGCGGCTCGTCATCCGTTGTATCAGAATCGTCGGATTCTTCTTCGATCAAAAAACCGCCGACTGCATTGAGCTTCGCCGAAAATCTAGAGCATGGCGAACGAGGACGCTTGCGGATTGGTGGAGATGAGTTAATGGGATGCTTGAGAGGCGTCGATTTGGAATTCGCGTGATAAGTGGGTGAGTCTGGACGTGGAGTGAGCGACTTTCGAAGAGGTTTCTTAGATTGCAGAGGGGTTTCTGACTAGATTCAGTCTCTGACATTGGAATATAACGAGGGTATGTTCCAATTACCCATTACGTAGTCGGAATGACCGCGGAAGGCCTCTTCAACCTTCCAGGCCCGATGCTGGATTACTACTCTAGCTTTGTTCTTGCGCACCTTAGTTTCCTCCTGCATACAAATTAAGGCTTCATAATCATCTGAAGCTGTTGAATGTGCGCATAAGTTATCTGGAAGTTCATCTGTATAATCAGGATAAGGGGTTGATGTTAAGAATGGTGAAGAAGGAATATCCATCAAACACTATAACGCGAACGCGTAGTTGCTGCCTCGCGATCTTTGGACCTTCATGGGTTCATTGTAGGAATAGGTCCTGCTATCCGATACTAACAAACAGGTACGTCATTAAAGGAGCTTTCGGTGTGGTTTAGCGGTATGCCACTCTTGTTTGTCCCAGATATAATAGAATAGAATGGAATTTTATTTATGTCCCTACTGAGTCTATAACTATGAAGGACAGCTTAAACTATCTAAATAACTTTAAAGTTAATAGTAAATTTGTATATTGTTGTGCTTAATTTTTGCCAATAGATGATGAGGGTCATGCCATATCCTCAGATATGACATTCGTACCTTCTACGGAGAACTTAGCAGCGCCCCACGCATTTCATTTTAAAGCATTAAACTCTAACTTGATGGGAGTAGTGCCACTTGGCTCCTTTACTGCAATAAACTACCCTTACTCGTTAGCATGGTGGATGAGGAAGCCAGCGTTCTGCAATCTAACGGACAATGTGAGCTGATAAGGATAACTTGGGCTAACAACATCTGTGATATTGAAGTGTAGACAGCTCTAAATCATGAAAACTTAAAAATACTTTGGATTGTGTCGCAACAGTATTCTAGGATGTGCAAGGGTCAAGAGGGATATCGCAATATGTTGATAGTTAGTCACGTGGATTGGTGCAGCTTGGCTTGTCGCCCTTAAGGCTGACACGCCTTAATCCAAGAAATAGAAGAACAAGAATCACCACATCAGAGAGAAACCCATTGCGTATGCGTACACATGTATATAACCAACCGATAGATTGTCTATTTCTAGTAAATAAAAGTTACGCACCATGGACGAGGTCGCTGAAGCCGTCAAGGCCAATGATATTCAAAAGGATGCCAAGTCAGAAATTCCTCGAAACACTTTCCCAGTGATGCGAAGCAAGAGTGCCTTGAAGGAGGCCATCGAATAGAGCTTTGCGAGTCGCGCTCAAAAGGCGAACCCAATGACAATTTTATGCACGCAAGCTTAACGAACACACGCGCCTGTACTGCATCAAGCATCTCTAACATTGCACACCCACAATTATCATATTGAACTAGAGTCCGATTAAACTCCAAATTCCTAGTGGTGCAATGGCTTCTGCCTGGGGTCAAGACTGAATACCTGTACGCGGTATCCTCTACGAACATGGGAGTGAGATATTCTCCCAGAGCCAAGTTCAGTCAAATTTCGCAATATCAAAGAAATTGGCCCACGAGGCAAAATTTCAAATTACTCTACCATGTCAACCTTTCACTCCCAAAGAGTCCGATTCTCAGCTAAGTTTCATCAAGTCTACAAGTACGACCTAGTACATCCTCATTCCAATGACCACAACTCCTATCGACTTTCTCTGGCCTCAGCATGTCACCGAATACACGCCCACGCCGATATTTATACCCGACAGAGGAAGCAAAGCGTGGAGCACAAATCTGGGAGATAGTTCTTTGGGATGGACGTGAGAGGTATTAAGACAAGTTCACAAGACGATGCAAATGAAAGATGTAACCTCGAAGAGTGTGAATTTGGGCAAGGAGTTTTTACAAATTAAGCTTTTTGCGCACCAAGACTTCGCTTGCAAGAGTGCAGCTGACACTGTAAACACAAGCCAACGATGTAAGGTGTTGTGGTCCGCCTCCTGGTGGTGTTCTCTGGTATGGTTTGAGTAGCCTGGGCACCTACTCCACTTGGGAAGGAGACGCCTCAGACCATATTTCGCGCGGAGAAAAGTTGAAAGATGACGGAGGCATGTCTGGATAACTCGGGGTTTTTGAGACGTTTCCCTGGGTGGGTATTCACAGATGAGGGTTGACTTGGAGTGAAGAAAAAGCCGCCACAACTTCGCAGTGGTACTTGCAAATGAAATGTGAGGCATGAGTGCTCTACGTCTCAATTGAGTTATATATTATACACTTCTCTGATATTGTGTCATAGCTAGATAGCTGCATACGCAAATAAAATCTGATGCAAAAAAAATGATCTACTCGTACCCCTAATAAGGCCCCTGGGCATCATCACTAGTCTGAAATGCCTGCACACAGATCGTGCTTTCGCTTTTGGACTGGATCCAGACTTATGCAAGCATAAGATTGCTTAAATGATGCACTAAAAGCACCTTTCTACCGACTTGTTTGACCAAGTGAGAAAAAGTGATACCACTGCTAGTCTCCACGTCTTCTACTCTTTTTTTTTTTGCATCAGATTTTATTTGCGTATGCAGCTATCTAGCTATGACACAATATCAGAGAAGTGTATAATATATAACTCAATTGAGACGTAGAGCACTCATGCCTCACATTTCATTTGCAAGTACCACTGCGAAGTTGTGGCGGCTTTTTCTTCACTCCAAGTCAACCCTCATCTGTGAATACCCACCCAGGGAAACGTCTCAAAAACCCCGAGTTATCCAGACATGCCTCCGTCATCTTTCAACTTTTCTCCGCGCGAAATATGGTCTGAGGCGTCTCCTTCCCAAGTGGAGTAGGTGCCCAGGCTACTCAAACCATACCAGAGAACACCACCAGAAGGCGGACCACAACACCTTACATCGTTGGCTTGTGTTTACAGTGTCAGCTGCACTCTTGCAAGCGAAGTCTTGGTGCGCAAAAAGCTTAATTTGTAAAAACTCCTTGCCCAAATTCACACTCTTCGAGGTTACATCTTTCATTTGCATCGTCTTGTGAACTTGTCTTAATACCTCTCACGTCCATCCCAAAGAACTATCTCCCAGATTTGTGCTCCACGCTTTGCTTCCTCTGTCGGGTATAAATATCGGCGTGGGCGTGTATTCGGTGACATGCTGAGGCCAGAGAAAGTCGATAGGAGTTGTGGTCATTGGAATGAGGATGTACTAGGTCGTACTTGTAGACTTGATGAAACTTAGCTGAGAATCGGACTCTTTGGGAGTGAAATATTGACGTGGTGGAGTAATTTGAATTTTTGCCTCGTGGGCCAATTTCTTTGATATTGCGAAATTTGACTGAACTTGGCTCTGAGAGAATATCTCACTCCCATGTTCGTAGAGGATACAGCGTACAGATGTTCAGTCTTGCCTGCCGTCAAATTGAGTTGTAATGAATATAAAACATTATATCCGGAAAGCCCAAAGCAGTCTAGCGATTCAAATACAAAGTGAGCACATGGGGCTTAACTCGTGTTTATACAGAAGAAAAGTACCCGGAGTCTACAGTCCAAGCTGTCCATGTAGCTACCAATCGCAGAACCCCAAGCACATGACTATGTCCTGCCCTCAATGGTCAAATAGAAGAGTAGAGATCTGGAGACAAGCGAAAGATCGGTCCTACGAAGCTTTGCTATGCAATCCTGGAGATATCGAAATGATAACACAATGGATCCTAAATCATGGTTGGATAGGGCAATTCCAGATGACAAAGGCGGTCGAAATACTGCGGAGGGAAAGGAACAGGTCATGCTTTTCTTGAGGTCGATAAAGCTGATGTGATTGGGTTATGTGGAGGTTTCACGGATCCGTAATTAGAATTTTAATATTAATAGTAATTCGCGATAAGATGAAGGGGTAGCTAACTAATACCATCAATTTAATAATAGCTTCCCCCGTATCTTATTTCTTATTTCATTTTATTGTGCTGTCTGAGTCTATGACTATGTAGGACATGCAGGTCCTCTCTGCCTACAGGCCAAGGATACCTATACAAGTAGTTTATCCCTTCCTATGCCCCCCATACAACTCCCCTCAAACAATACTCCCCCTCACTAGTCCTCATTGGATCATACACTAAGAGGAGCCCTTTGCCCTTCATTATCTCCCCTCTCCAGCCAACGAAACGATGGCCATTTGCGGGTGTATGGCAGCCGGGAAAAATTGCAAAAACCACTGGGTGCGGGGCTCTCCTAATACCGACATTAGGACTAAAACCGAAGACATAGTGCCTCTTGCGAAGCGTTCGAAGAGGCCGGCCAGCTGGGTGCTGCAAACTTGCGGATACCTCTGGAAATTCACACTCTACCTTTCTAGCCTCCTTTCAACTCCTTCCTGAAGGTGGTGCTGAAATGTGTTGCGAAACCAACCTAGATACTCCCCGTGCTTGTGGTTTCAGTATGTGTCCATCAAGATTGTCGGGTGTCGCCTATCCGCTACTAGTTACACCATCATCTTTTGTTACGTCTGATATTCGAGACTGCAACAAGAATACGCGTAACTGGTATCAGATCTGTAGTTTGTCCCGTTGTATCCAGTAATGAGGCATTATTCTCTAGCCCATGTCATTGCCAGACATCAATGTATATAGACAGTCTCATATCCTTTGGTAAAGATCAAGAGTTTCGATCAAGCCTTTACTATAAACATTATTCACATCTACGGATACCCTTTTGTTGTGCCTAGACCCACATAGCTATAGTGCACAGCTCCAGTTATGATGGTCACGCGACTGCATGCATTTGCTCTGTTTGCTCCTGCTTCGTTGAGTTAGTATAATTAGTAAGCAATAGTCTGGGGACAATAAGTAGAGAGCTTTCCTCCACAGTAGGTAGAGCAAGCAATACAGTCTTTCCTCATTTTACAGAGATCATTCTCCACTCCTCTTCTTGACCTGTCCGGCCCAGCAGCACATCTGTGATCACTAGCAGCGAGCTCCCACAAATTGTATGTACACCCGAATCATAGACCTATCATAACAGGTTATGAGCCCGGCGCATCCACGTACTTACAGGAGTTAGCTAACCATTGTGAAAAACCAGATTAAGCATCATGAAAATGACTGATCCAAAGGAAATTCTTGGTAACGGTATCTCATTTATCGCTTGGAGAATGGCATTGCGTGCTAAACTTGGACGCAAAAACGTCCTGGGACATGTCTTTTGTCACAGTTCAAATATAGAAAGCGAATGGGCATTTGTATAATTGAAAGGTAAAGCTATAATTCATCTATGTAGAAGCAAACTACCTGCAAGTCTACTCTACTACTTATACACATCCAGAGGTATCTAAATCTAGCCTACA